GGTTTTGTAACCGTAGAAGCGATTTTCGGTCGAGCTCCTCCTTCAAGTTTTGATGTGCGTCCTGATGTTCTGCCAACAAGATGGAAGAATCTACAATTTATATAAGCCGCCTTTAAAAGGCTAATGGATATGTTTGAGGAACATTCGGAGAACTTGACATTCTACAATAAAAAACCTAATATAGTAAAAAAATACAGAAAATTTGTTTCAATTCTATTTCGTTTTACTTTATTCTACTTTTCAATTTATTAGATTTTGTTTTACTTTATTTTGTTTTATTTAATATTTTTCCTTTTATTTGCTTATCTTTTCGTTTTCTTTATTTTATTTTATTTTATTTTATTTTATTTAATTTTATTTTATTTTATCTTATTTTAATTTTTTTTTTGTTTTATTATGATATTTTACATTATCGTTTAGTTTTCATTTATATTACGTCATACAGCACAGAACATAATTTTTAGCCCACCGTAATGACATCATCAAGTAAACTCCAAGCCGTTATGCAATATGAGATGGTCATACATAAAAGTGACTAGAAAGATAAATAGCAAAAAGTAAACGGCTTATTAATAATCAAATATTTCCTCAAGCAAATTGCAGAAGTGACACACCTCTAGAACAACAGCACAAAGAAGTAGAGTTCAAAGCAAAAAAAACAACTTCACTCTATTATTACTATTGTATATACTTTTTGCAGTTGCTACGCCCTTCCCTACCATTATTCGCTGTTTACTGAGTCTGTAACACTAACGCCATTATGCCTCCTCTAACCACTCAACTATGTTAACACGATGGCCGGCCACCGACATTAGGGCAGCCGATGGCGAACAGGTGACTGCTCTGCAAACGAAGAGTCAGAATCTTTTTGCCTTTTTCATGAAATAAACAGCGGATGCAGTTCTACATGTACCTGTGCATGTGCATATATGTGTGTGTGTGTGTGTGCATATTTGTTAGTTGTGAGTTCACTTTGGTGAAAGTGAAATGTCAATAAGACAAATGTCGGTCGTCAATGACAGCGTAAATAATTGTCGCTTGCGAGTAGAGCAAATGTCTGTATAAACGTGTGTTTTTTGCGTGAGTACCAAACCCACCAGAGATGCCGGAAAATTAAAGTGATTTAGTGTTATTGTATAAATATGTATGTAATGTACGTAAGCGCAAGATATAAAAACTAAAGGAGAAATAAATTAAATCAGCAAAAGTATGAACTCACTCAGCAAAAGGGTAAAGCAATGAAGAACGGAGAATGAGAAATAAGACCTATACTTACAACTAAGTAAATGTGATTTCACTTTTTACAAAAAAAGTACAAAAAAATATATATATGTACAGCATTAATTTGACTTCATTAAATCGGTGAACTTAACTTTCTCACCTACTCGCTACTTCATTGCCGCGTGCAATTCACTCTCGCTGTTTCCTGCGGATTAGGTTTGTGACATACTTACTAATTTGCTCAAGAGCACTTAGTCTGCTCTATCTAATAGTTCTACTTTCGCTTGCCTAGCTTTTAATATTATTATTATTTTTTATTATTATTGTTTGTTTTCAAGTTAATTCTCTTTTCCATCAAACTCTTTGCCTTTTCATACGCCACTCGAACTCAGTTTTACCACATTCTTATGGCAATTTTTTTATGTCACCCAATCAAGTTGGCGGTTTTGTGATTTCTGCTTATTCTTCCTCTTGCTTTATGCCATTAGTTTGCTTGTCGTTTCGCTGTAGAGCTGTAGCAATCAAATTAAGTTGACAGCTGACAAGGAAAGTTATTGAGGCGCGTCAATTAGTCAGTTGCGGATGGCCTTGCTATTGGTCACCTTCTATGTTTGGATGTTCGACGCTAATCTGCCTTGGGCGGCGGTGACAATGTTGTTACGTGGCTATGGATATTCCTGCTAACAAATATGTCTCTACGTATGTATGTCTGGTGATTAATGTTGGCGATTTATATGCCGTACTGGCAAGCGCATTCGCATAATGTCTTTGTTGGCTGACTTTGTTGCCGTCGCCACCGTCGTTGTTCTTCTTAATTTGCCTTTTGGCAGTGACAGAGGCGATTAACGTTGCTTGATTGCTCACAGTGTGCTAAGTACTTGTACTTAATTCTTTTTGTTTTCACTCAATGGCGAAGATGATGGTGAGAAAAATACTTTTTATTAAGAACATGCGTATAATGTTTGCCTTTTGCTGACATTTCCGGGAGATTAACATGATTGGAAAAAGCCAAGCCGCTCAGTTGTAGTAGGAACGTGTGTGGCGTGCTCTGGTTAGTATTTGGTGGGATTCTTAAAATATGTAGACTTTGTTTTGAATGTCGCTAGAGTGCCTGAGGAAAGAGAGGTGCTGTCGAATATTTGTAGAGATTTTTAGATAATATTACAGCTTATCTTATATATATATTATATGTAATATATAAAAGGAATTTTTCAGAAAGCTGATCTGGGGCCGATCAGAAACAGTCGTAAATGCACTTTCATTTGCTTGATCTTAGAAAAATATTGTAGGATTCTCTTTTTATGGGTTAATATGTGAAAAGCTCATTTTCTCAGAAGTGATTCGATTTGCTTGAAGATTTTAAATGGATCTAGGATTGATAAATTCGCCAAAATCGTAATTTTTCCTCAACTTTGGTTTAAATTTGCAGCATAAATAGCTCAATGTGTAATATAATATATTTAGATAGCTCATCACCTAGGTAATATAGTACCCTCTTCTACCATCTTCGCCTTCGCTATCCGATCGTCATAACCGAGCCACCGTAGCCGCCTATATAAACATAGTCGTATAGCACGTACAGCTTAACGTTCCATCGAATTCGTCACCGTCCATACCCTAAGGTCTATCTATAAATCTTCTTCGAAACCTTTCACTCCTAGAAGGGCGAAGTTATCTACGAACTGAATGTGCGTGGATCCTCCTCCACATGGCTCCCTCAATTTAAATATTTTAAAAAATTACAAACCAGTTGAGAACTCCTATTTCCACTCAACGAAATATTTTTCTTTTGTTTACAATACCAAATTAATGTTCTGCGCGGCATTAAGTACTTGTGAAAGTTTCAATTATCACATACCAACATTAACTCTAAATATCTTTCTTTCTACGAACTTCTCATGCTTGACCTTAATGCTGTGAATGACCTTCAAAACTTTACTTCATTAGATTTATGTGGGAAATTATAAACAAAAAAACACCTGGGACATAATTTTCAAAGATTTACTCTATAGATCAAAAGTTCTCTGAGGCAGATAACACTTGAAAAATCACACCTTACCGCCAAAGCTGCCACACACAGAAGTTGAAAGGAGCAACAATAAAGCATTAGGCGCCAACTTTACTACGAGTTTGCGTGAATTAATAAATTATGCATACTACTTGGACGTACATATTTATATATATCGTAGTATATTATCACCTAGTAATTTACGCAGCACCGAAGATTGAGAAAATTAAAACTTAAATAAATAAATATGTAAGAAAATAAATATAAAAAATAAATAAAGAAAACTTGTCACTGCTTCAATGCGTGTATATATATGTACAAACATATGTACGATGGCGAGGAAAAGACCAAACCACAGCGCGATTGGCGAGATCAGTCTAAATGCTAGCGACAACAACCTGTCCTCATTCATATTCGTTAGTCTGTCGCACAATCAGTAGCAAGAAAAAAACGCGCTGACGAATCTATACAAATAAAAATACAATAGTTTATCTATACTTGTACATGTATATGTATAGATGTGTGATGTTCGCACTTGTACCGTGAGAACGTCTGTTGTCTGCTACGCCACATATGGTGATTTCTTCGCTAGGAAATAAAGCGTTCAGTCAACAGCGCGAAGCAGCAACAAACACAGCGGAGGCAAACTATGTTGTGCAAATACTTATAATAAACTAATGCAGAATTTTAATGCGATTGCATTAATTAAGATAAGAATTTGTTTCAATTTGCTATAAAAGAATTATTTCACTGATAGTTGAACGTGTCGTGTGTTACTTAATGCTTTTAGAAGCGTGAGAGAATGCTTGAGGCGAGCACTGGTGGGATGAGATGAAGCGGAACGAAAATGCAATAAAAATTGTCAAAAAAGAATATTTTAGAAAAAAAATTTAAATTTTGTTTAAATAATTTTTTAACATATTTTTTTTAGTTTCTAATAAATGTTGTTGCCAGTTTACTACTGTATTTTTTTACTTTTAATAATTTATTATTTTCCGTTAGAAAATTTAAATATTTAATTTTTTAATGTAATTTTTTATATTTTATTTCTATTAACTCCAAACTAAAGTAGTGCGAAAGCGGTCTCAGCGTGGGCGTTTTTTTACCTCTCCTCAAAAAAAATATTTTTACTATTATTTTTATTTTGAAATATTTTTATTTTTTTATTTCTCTAATTTCTAATAATATTAGTAATATGAATATATTATATATATATTATCGTTATTTATACATTTAATATTGTGATTTTTATCGCTATCATTATTATTATTATTATTATTATTTTTATTATTTTTACTATTATTATTATTGTTATTATTATTATTATTATCTTATTATTATTATTATTATTATTATTATTATTATTATTATTATTATTATTATTATTATTTTGTTATTATTACTATTATTATTATTATTATTATTATTATTATTATTATTATTATTATTATTGTTATTTATTATTATTATTATTATTATTATTGTTATTTATTATTTTTATTATTATTATTATTATTATTATTATTATTATTATTCTTATTATTATTATTATCATTATTATTATTATTATTATTAATATTGTTATTATTATTAATATTATTTTAGTATTAATACCAAAAATTTTGCATAAATTTTGACAATTATGTCATTAAATATTATTATTACATTACTTTGTGTAGGCTAATTAATTTTTATGTAATAGTTAATATATACACATATATTTTTTAAATGCAAAGCTCTCACTTTCTTCTCTTCTTTTATTTCTTTTCAGGTGAGTTTTTTCATCGCATGCAAATTTATATTGCCAATGTTGTACACAACAAACGAACGACTACATCACTGGACTTACATAAATAATTATGGGCATGTGAGCAGGTATTTATGTATGTATGTACATATGTAAATAAAATAAATTCATGAAATCTCGTATGTAGAATATACGAGCAAAAGTAGTTACGTTAGTACGTGACAAGAGAAAACGTGCTTGTTGTTGCAGTAAATGCGCATAAAATTGAAAAAAAATATTAATATTTAATTTTTTTTTCATATTAATTTATATTAAATTTAACGAAGAAAACATTTATTTTTTTTTTAAAATTCTTAATAAATTTTAATTAAAATATAATTAAGTTTGCTTTAAATAAATTTGAAAAAGTAGTAACATGGCAAACTTATCGAAAAATCGAAAATCTTTTGCATAAATTTTTTTTTTTTTTTTTTTTTTATTTTTTTTTTGAAAAAAAAAATCTCCAAATATCACATTCATTGCCCTCAGCCAACTTTTATATTTTTATATTTTTTTTTCTGAAAGTTTATCGAAATTCTCTAAAAGAAAACTCAAGCTTAAGCGCTTACGCAGCTCAAATGGCAGTTAAACGCTTGTCATTCGTTTGCCGGTGTTAAGCTTCAGCAATTGCCAAGAATTCAAATTTGCACCATTAACATTAAGCAAGCATTAATTCATTCATTTTTTTTTTTACTTTTGTGTGGGTATTCATTCATGCGCTGCTGACAATGCTAATTAGCATGCGAAGTTTACGTTTTTGGTTATTTGAGCGCTTACTTTTGAAGAATATTACCATTTGTGGCGCATTGTGGTTCAATGATCGCTAAGTTTTGCAAAATAACAAATTAAAAAAAAAACTACAAAAATTATTTCGAAAAGAAGCTGACATAAGGAATTATTTAATTAATTTTTTAATATGAATTTCTCTTTTCATTTTTCGCATTAATTTAATGCATAATTTTCAAATTTCATTATTAAAATATCAAAATTAAAACATTGGACTATACAGCACATCGTGAATACCTCCATCCGAAATACCATTACACTGTATTCCACCACAATCATTCATTGGAATTCATTAATTCATTGATGTGAAGTATTAGCCAACAGCATGTCAACACAAACAATAGCCGCCGCCATTAAGAGCTTTCCATTGAAGCTTTAGGCAAATGTATGACCAGCAGAAATGGTGCGTCTGCTGTCATAGTGACATTTTAAGTGTTCAGAATTTTTTCTAATTTCTAGCTCATTAGCATATTTATGTGTCATTAAAGATTTTTTTTATTATTTTTTTTTACATTTTCGGTTTTACTTCCCAATGCTATTCGTATTCTATGCGAAATCAAGTTTGATTGACGGCTGACAAAGAAAATACTCAATGGAGCTCGAGAAGTAATAAAAATATATTATTTACATACTACATAATAATACAGACATATGTTATGTATGAAGGTATGCGCACTTCGTGTGCCTCTGAGAAGAACCTATTAAGCGCTTCAGAAATTGTGAAGCTTTTGCACGCGTCTCTTTTTATGTATTTTTTGGTTTGATTTCTTTTTTCATAATTTTGGGCGTAGCAATAAAACCAATTAAGTCATAAATATATGTAAATGAGAATAAACAAAATTCAAAGGGTTCTATTTCGTTAATTAGACACTTAAATATTTTTTGAGAATTTTTTAAGTGTAGCACAAAGCAATTTTGAAGTGTTTGCCAGCAAGCTTTTTGTCCAATTTTAGCAAAATTTTTTTTTATAAAAGAACCAAATTACATCATGCCATCACAGGAAACGCTGTCATGCAACGACGATATTTACATAAATTTTAGAGGAATTTAAAAAAAAATATATTTAAATTTATGTTGCCGCTACCAAGCAAACGATGTTCAATCCACCAAAATCATCCGGACTTTAAGTCCATTTAATGGTAACCCGCTGTTCATTCAAACAATTCCACAACAACATTACATATCACTGCACTCTCATAACGCTGCATGCCACATGTGGCGATCATTGATGTTTTGCCAGCAAATGTACTTACTGATCGTGTCTGCTCACTTGCGATCATTTGCTTCTGATCTTGGCATGGCGTGGTGCGCAAGATGCGCGCTTTGGTAGCAAAGTAGCACATCATCACCAGCGGTGTGCACAGCAACGATTCGCAATGCGGTGCGGCTGCTGAGGTAGCACATACAAAATGAGATCGTGCGCGCACGCCGCTGCTGATCGATCAGCCGCCAAGTCGACATCAAGCTGTGCGTAAACGTAGAGCATGCAATGTGTAGTCTTCATTTTGCTAATGTTATTTCTTCATTTCGTTTTTGATCGTGTGGCACTGATCGCTAGTAGCCCAGATCGCTTAAGCAGCGTATAAATACGCATTCATATTTTTTCTTGTTTTCTTATTTTTTTTTTTTTGCTTTCAGAGCTTACAAAGTGTAGACGTTTTCATTTTCCAATCGGGAGTAATTACGAGTAACACAAATTCTCTTTTTTTGCTATTTCTTCATTTCATTACTTTTTTCTTTCTTTGTGGCTACTTCTTTCTTATATTTATTGGCATTTTTCCGGTTGCAGCCGTGGAATGTTAGGCTTTATGGCGCCACAACGCAGCTGGCTGGCATCATGTCAGCATGTTGCATGCACATATCAACGAGTTGCCAGCGGAACGTTTAAGATAAAGCAATGGCTGATCATCGCGCTAGACTTGACGGGCGATTGAGTTGACGATGTGGCGGCGGCGAGTTTGAGGCATGCAATTATGCCAAGAGCGTACAAAGTAGGTGTTTAATGATTATGGTTGGCGTATTATGTGGGAAAAAAGTTTTTCTTGCAAAGGCGGCGCTTAAAAAAATGAGGACTGGGACTTTTAAAAAAATATGAAAAAATTCAAACAAGAATAAAATAAAATAAAATAAAATAAAATAAAATAAAATAAAATAAAATAAAATAAAATAAAATAAAATAAAATAAAATAAAATAAAATAAAATAAAAAAAGATAAAATAAAACGAAATAAAACAAAATAAAATGAGAAAAAATAAATAAAATCAAATAAAAACAATTAAATCAATAATATTTATATTATAAATAATATAGTATAATATAATATATATATTACAAATAATATAGTATAATATAATATATATATATATATATATATATAATATAACAAAATAATATTAAATAAAACAGAAATAGAACAAAAAAAGAAATGAAATAATACATAATACAATAAAATAAGAAAGTAATTAAAAAATAAAAGAAAATAAACAAAAGAGCTAGAATATAAAAGAAATGAAATTAAATATGACAATATTCAATATGAAATAAAATAAAGAAAATTAAAATGAAAACAAGAAATAAAATAAATTAAAATAAAATAATTATTTAATAATTAATTATTTAAAAGTAAAATAAAAAAAAAACAAAATAACAAAGGCTTGTGTTTTATACACTATAACTTTTAACGAAATATGATAAAATAAAATAAAACAAAATAGAATGAAAAAATAAAGATAAAATAATATACAATAAAATAAAATAAAAATATTTAAATATATTTAAAAATAATATAAAATAAAACAAAATAGCAAAAAGCTTTATAACAGAATAATTTTAAATGAGATATAAAAAAAATTAAAGAAAACAAAATAGAATGAAAAAAAGAAATAAAATCAAATAAAATGAAATAATTATATTATTTATAAATAATTATAATCAAAATAAATAAATGCTATATAAAACATACACAAATTATAAATTAAATATATTAAAATAAAATGAAATAAGGTATTATTTTTTGTTTCAAAATATACTAAAAATTAAAACTGCAAGTATTTATTACAACATGCTTTACATTATATAATAAAAATACTATCAAAATTATCTTAAGCCAGTTGAAAGCGAACGTGAAATTTGCATAAACCAAAAAGCAAGAAATATTACAACACGCAATAAAGCAACAAAACTAAATTGCACGTTTTTACACATTTTGTATTGTTGTAATTTCTGCTCGACTTTGGCACAATTTCATTGCAACAGCAAAAATTGAAGCTTATCGGTGTACTACATACAGGCAGCTGACCCAAATCCATGACCAAAAAATTATAATAAAAGCAAACAGCAAAAAAAAAAAAAACAAAACAAAACTAGTAATAGTATAGTACAGAGAGCACTTTGTTGCAAAATGCTTCAATGCAAACAAAAACCACAAAGAAAAACCAAATTCAGCCAGCAAAATGCACTACTCAACTGCAAAAGTTCCTGTGCGCAATGAAAAACCAAAAAAAAAACATTAAACAAAAAATAAAACACGTTCATATAAAAATAAAAATCGCTTCAATTCAACATTTGCACTCGCTGACCGACGCTCTATTGCTTATATGTTAACCTGTGTATAACAATAATTATTTATTGCGATGTCTATAAAACAATTAAAAATGTTACATTTTGTCATACATGCGCAATATGCTGTTTTCTGATATGAAAACACCGTTATACAAAAATTGTAACAAAAATCGCAAATGTGTTTGGTACAAACGCCGTGAACCGCGAACACGTATACGCTATGACACACCGACGGTCGTTAGGTCAGCTGATAAGGAGAATAAAACAAAACAAAACGCTTTTAATAAAAATTTCAAAAAAAAGCGCATGTGTGTATGTCTGTGACTGAATGATTTAAAATAAGTAACTGTTGCATTTGTTGGGTTTTCCCTTACTTAGCCAACAGTTTTGCAAAATGTCAAACACTACGACGCGCATATGTGCTCTTACATATGTTTGCAAGTTGTTGAAGGCTTTTATTTTTATTATATATATTGACGTTATAGTTGTTGAATTGTTCATGTATATTTGTCGAAATTAGTATTTGAAACATTTCGAAGAGCAATTTAACTTGGAGTAACTCTGCTGGTCCACGCAAGCCTCTTGTACTTGAACGTATTTCAAAATAATATATATATATATATTTATATATATATATATATATATATATATATATATATATATATATATATATATATATACATATATATATATACTCATATATATGCTAAAAACTGCTTAAATGCTTAAAGTGTCATCAGCTTTCCTGACTTGTATACGCTGTATTAAAAGCGAGTGTGAAATCTGTCGCATTTATCGCAGCGTGTTGGGAATATTTAATTGAGCGCTTGCAACTTTCAGTAATAAATTACTTTTTTTTTTCGAAAAAAAAATGTGTGAGTATTAAAAAAA